ATTAGTTTTATAGTTTTAAAGTTTGAATTTAAATTTTCAAAGTTTTAAATTGTGAAATTTAAACTTTTATACTTTTAAAAGTTTGAAAGTTTGTATTTAAAACTTTAAAAGTATAAAATTTTAAGTGTAATGTTCCTAACTTTTTAATTTTAATAAAAAATTATAATTTATAACAGTTGGACCCGATTTCCGGTCCGGTCCGGGACGGGTACACGGATTTTTTTCCGGAATTACCGGTTCCGGCTAGTGGTGCCCGGTTCTGTTCCGGTTCCGGTCCGTCCCGGTCCGGTAGTCCCGGTTCCGGTCCGTCCCGGTTCGGTAGTCCCGGTTCCGGTCCCTTTGCCAGCCATAGTTGTCCGTATGGAGAGGACAAGACTTCAGAATACAGTAGTTTTAATTCTTAAGTACATATCCCAAATAACTAATCCTAATTACATATTTATACAGAACGCAATAGGATAAGACTGACACCATAAACTACAACTAGGAATAATAACTGCTAGACCAATTGCTGTAGCAAATCAAGGGAACAGTTGCTAAACAACTGATGTAGCAGTTGTGTTTGTCCAGAACTCTTCAAATCTTTATCCTTTTGTCGATTTGATTAAAAGACTGTTTGTTGCATCTTTAGACGAACAAAGAAAAGGATGAAGGTGTTGAGACTCAACCACTCATCGAACATATAGTATTTGATGAAGCATCACCATGACATTTCAAAGAAGTTTCCTACCAGACTCAATAGTACTTGAGCAAAAGCTGCAAGAATAGCTCAAAGAAAAAGAACAGGGAAACAAAATAAAAATTAACCAACAGGCAACTGGAAAATCTCAATCACTTGCACCAGAAGTATCTACTGTAAGTCACTTTGAAACTCCCGACGCATTACAATAAGAAGTCCAAGAAGCACCACGACCACAATAAGGAGGTCTTTATGACTGAAATGTCCAAACACCAAGTATATGGATGCATAATAGGTATTTGCCCTGAGTTTCTTACTATAAATAGGTTTTTCTTTTCCTAAAAAGAAAACATAAAGTCTCCATATTTGGTTAGTCCTTTTCTTGTATGAAAATGTTTAGGATCTATAAATAGAGGCTCATTCCTTCTAATTTAATCAACATTCACAATGTAGTCATAGGGGCTTTGAGAGTTTTGTTTACGAGGGAATTTGTGGGACACAAGTTATTACTCGTGTGAACCTCTTTATATTCCGAGTGAATTGGGTGAGGTTGTTTCTCTCTATATTTTGTACTCTCATTTTTATGAATTACTCATCTCTTTTGTGGATGTAGGAATGTTAGATCTTTGTGTCTTTTAGTATATTTCTCATTTGTCTTCTTATTCATGGTCTTTCGAGGTTTGCTTTGTTAGCTTTCGCATGACACCTAATTATTTCGGTCCTAACAATCTTTATGACTGAAATATCCAAACACCAAGTATATGGATGCGGAATTTGCAAAGGTGAGTACCACCTTTAAAGAAGATTCAAAGAGTAATGAGTGGAGTAGTTTAAGTGAGGAAGAGGTTCATAATAAGCCTGGACATCAAAATGATTGCGAAATCTCGTGGATCGCTCAAAATGAATGCAAAGAATAAATTAAGTTGGTGCTGAAGGGGAGTATTAAAATGTCATCACCAACTCAATTAATATCTATGTTATTTAAAAGAAGAATGTAGAAGATTCAAGTACTTATGAAGAATTGAAGGAAGAACGCAAAAATGAGAGCTCTACAGTACAAAGTCTAAAAGCATTCTAGAAATAAGTGGAAGGTGTATTTCTAGAACATTCTTTGAATAGATTCTTCAACCAACACCTATAAATAGAGGTGGTCATTTGAGTGGTATGTCTACTCATGTAAGGAGTGTGTGCTTGTAGACACATGATCTGAGATTTTAAGTTTTATGGGGTTATGAACTATTATTTTTGCTTTCTTGGTTTGAGATACATTATTTATACTTATTAACTGAATTTGTTAATATAAATGCAGAATTTGAGCCGAAGTTGTTGGATTCCACCAAAGCTCTAACTCTATTATGGCTTTAAAGTGAGCTCAAGTTATCTTTGACATTATTGTCATTCAAAAAAAAACTCTAGACTTTATAAGTGATTTATGTTGCTCTTGTTTCCAAATTTAGCATTATATTTAATTTTCTTGTTTGGTTTACATGTATTTGTTGGGTTCAATTGAACCCGTAACTCTATTGTGGTTTCGTCCCCAAAAGTTGTAATAACATAGTTGAATTGCCTTGAAATTGGTTTGAACATAATAATAGTTAAAAAAAAACTCTAGACTTTATTAGCGATTTATGTTTTTCTTACTTCTTAAAGTTAGATTTGATGATTTAATATACTATTAATTTGTTTAGTTTACATGTATCTGTATGTCGAACCCATAACTCTATTATGGCTCCACCCGTGGAAGTTGTGATAAGGTAGTTGAAGTGCGTTCACTTTGGCTCAGACATTATGGTCATTAGAGAAAATCCCTAGACTTTATAAGTGATTTATGTTGCCTTTATTTCCGAAGTTTGCATCATATATATTAGCTTGTTAAATTTACATGTATGTACTTGATGTTGATTCATCGTTTCCCTAAAAAGGACGGCTTGATTGGCTCAAATATGTTATTGGTTTTATTAATTTGTTAGATTCCCTTGTTGGAATTCAGAACATTTTGCCGCAAGGAAATAGCTATAATAGTCGATTTGATATAAACACTGATATTTACAATTAAATATATATTTTTTTGGTCATAATGGGTTTATCGCTAAAGTATAAAAATTGTAAGCACTAAAACATTATATATACATTCAATTTATACTTTTTTTAGAGTCCTTGTCTTGGCTGGCCAGTTTCAAGCTCGAATAAAGGAGGGTTCAGGTATGAATCCTCGTAATACAAAGATTATTGGGATGTGTGATCTTGGGCGTATTTGCATGCTTAAGAACCAAAAATTTCGTCCAAGTTCAGAATTATTTGTTACTAATTAATAGTAGTGTCGAGTCATATGAATTCATTTAGACTAACCAACATGATTAGTTGTGTAAGTGAGGTTAAATGAAGAAACGAGCGCTGAAAACCGACATCGGAAAGCACGAGAGGATCCAAGTAAAAGAGCGCCAAGAAAGGAGAACGAAAAATGAAGAACAAGGCTTATCTGTATCCCCTCCGCGTCGTGGAGAGGGATTTTATTATTTGTTCGCGAATTAGAATTGGAGACAAAACAATTTGTATTGTGCACGCATCGCGGAGAAGAGATGATTGCCAAGAACTGGATTTGAGAAATCACTCTGCATCGAGGACCTCACTGCCAGATTTGGCCGAAGTCAACAAAATATAAATAGACTTAGATTTTTATTTTATTTTTATTCTTTTTCTGGGTTTTAAAGAACGACGACTTTGGGAGCTTTTCCATCTGTTCTTAGGGTTCATTCCTAAGCTCTTTTATGTTCGATCTCTTTATGTTATTTAAACATTGCATAATTGAGATTCTTGATATGATTAGCTAATTTCCCTAGTTTTAGGGCTGTGGCTACTGGATGATTGTACTTTATTGAAGTTTTATGGATTGAAGTGAATCAATCTTGTGTTCTTGTTTTCATATTTCGTGCTTGATCACCACTGAAATAAACATCTTGTCTGAATTGAACTCGGGTGAGGAATAAGAGGATAGAAAGTGGGGCATGAGGAGCATGATTTTCTCTTATGAATTAGAGTTAATTTGTATCTAGGATAGGGATATACCTAGAGACCGTGCTTGGTTATTAGACAAGACAAAATCATAATGCTCGGTAATTGGTCCAGCCTATCCCCGCTCAACGATGTAGTTAGGCTTCCAATTATCATAGGTGATTAGAGGTCGAGAGACCATAATCATATAATTAACCATGTGATCATTGATTCGATAGTTAAGTAATATCCATTTTACAAGATAATATGCATAAATCCTGAAGTAAGCTGCAACCCTGGACTTTACCTAATCATTGTTTAACCTTTTGAAATTGAATCGCATTAGTTAAGTTTTTAATTAGATTTTAGATTAGAGAAACATTCACTTCATTGTTCTTGATAACACTTGTTTTGAATTGAAAGTATTGGAAAGATCGACTTAATCTAATCTTGAGTCCCTGTGGGTACGATACCCAACTCTTAAAAAGAGCCACTTTAATACTTTAACGACCACATACACTTGCGTGTGCGATTGAGCGCAACAATGTGCTCGCTTCATAATGCTACCGTTGGAAATTAGTGAACCATAAATTCACTTACAAAGTGAAGTTTTTTTTACTATGTCCGAGCCAGCTTGAATGCACTTCAATTTCTTTATCACAACTTTGCAGGAGGGGGGGGGGGGAGAAGCCATAATAAAGTTACGGATTTAGTAGGATCCATCAAATACATATATATTGAAAAAGTTTATATAATGCTAAATTTGGAAACAACGGAAACATAAATCACTAAAGAAGTCTTAGAGTTTTTTTTTAAATGACCATAATGTCAGAGCAAACTAAAATACACTTCAAAGCCATAATAAAGTTAATGCTTTTGTAGAATCCACAATCTCAAACCAAGAAACTAAAATATAGTTCATAAACTATAAACTTAAAATTCCAGATCCACCTCTGACGACTTATTCGATTATTTTAGGACGAAACTCAATTCCTTCAATGATGAGGCCACTTATTTTGAAATCAACACGTTTAACCCCAATCAATCTATCTACAACAGGGCCATCACTACTTTCCTTGCTATTAAAATTTCCCAATTCTATTTCCATCCAACCATCTCCTCTCAGTTTGGGAAATAATGCTGCAAGCCTCACAATGTTGGTTTGTTCTTCAGTCACAGTTTCATTCTTATCACTAACTAACATAATAGGTGAATCAATAGATTCAAGTCTACGGTACAAATCTACCACTTTGAACACCAAATAAGCAACATAATATGTGTTTGGTGACAATACGTTTGTTCCTATTCTTCCACAAATATCCAACCAATATGGAAAGCCAAGATATGCCACTTCTGAGAATCTGCAAAAAGTATTGTCAGAAACATTTGTAAAGATAATTCTTTTTAAAAAAACTTAATGATATGTAGGGCTTTATCTCCTTAATAGGTTACAAATTCGAATTTGAATTAGTGGGCTTTGGGTACCATATGGTTGAACTAAAAACCAATAAATTTTAAAAGATTGAGTTATCTATATTACTATCTATGCAATTTAACTTGTTATAGAAGATTTTTCTTTTTGCAATCAACTTAGTGTTGTTAAGAACCTATTCTCTGTCTGAGTTCCCATATTATAAAGACTACTATTGGTGGGGGGGAATTAAGAGCTTCCTATTAAGGTGCCTCCTTTAAAGGGCACGGACCAACTTTTCTTAGCTGCAGAGGAATCTTTACCATCTTTGTTTTGTGCTAATTGACCCTCAAGATTAATAAGAAAAATATTAAGGGTTTATAGGCTTGAGTGGGCTATCTCACCTAATAGACTTTTTTTCAAAGGTTGGGCCATCTAATTAGTCTATAATGAGCAGGTTGATTAATGCTTGAGGCGGTAACTCAAAGTAATGGCTTGTGGAGACAATAGTGATGGCTTGGGACCAAGGTGGGGGGTGCTAGATGTGACCAACCAATAATGGTGATTTCGATCCAAAAGAAGTGTCCATTGGGAATTGTTAGGCATAATTGGTTGCTCACAACTTGAATTTTATTTTTGCGAAGTCAGGACCAACTTCGGTCTTGCAACTAAATTTTTCTTTTGCATTTAGTATTTTCTTGAGTAGTACACATTTTTATTTACTTCTTTCTTGAGCACACACTCATTATATGAGTACACATAAAACTCTAACCACCTCAATTTATAGGTTATGATGAAAGGATTTAGTGAATGTAGTAATTCTAGAACTATAACTTCCACTTATTTCTGGCATGTTTTTAGACTTGCACTAAAGAACGTAACTCTCATTCTAGAGTTCTTCCTTCAGTTCACTACAAGTCTTGAATATCCTAGATTCTCTTTGAAATATCTTAGGTTTTAATTTAGTTCCTCAACACTAACTTAATTCATTCTTTGCATCCATTTTGAGTGATACATTATGAACCTCTTCTTCCTTTGAACTTCTCTTCTTACTAATCTTTGAAGAATCTTCAAGGTTGTAATCTCCTTGATTTGGACTACCTTTACTAAAGTTGCATCTATCTACTTGGTGTTTGGGGCGTTTCAGTCATGTAGACCTCCTTAGTTATGGTTGTGGTTCTTCTTTGACTTCTTCTTGCAATATGAAAGGAGTTTCACAAGTTCCAGTTTGCCATTAACTATTTTTTATGGAGATATGTTGGTGATTTGGGGTTTTTTTTTGGCCTCTTGGTTAGTTTCTATCTTGTTTCCTCATTTTTCTTCTTTGAGCTTATCTTGCAGCTTTTGCTCAAGTGCTGTCAATTCTAGTATGGAGATTTCTTGGACCACCATGTTGATGCTTCATCAAATTCCACATTTCTTGACACTTACATCCGACTAGTAGTAGGACCACAAACAACTTCATCCCTTTATTTGTTCATCGTAACTAGTAAAGATGCAACGAACAATATTTTTTATCCAACTTACGGTAAAGATGATCTAGAACAAGCATAGAGGACTCACATCTCATCTCTCACAAGTGACTTAAATTAGGTATTGTATTATTGAGTTTCTCTAATGGTGAGATAAATCCCAATCTTGCTTGTGGCATCCTTTTCGTGATATGGACAACATACTTCATGCATTTCCCCCAAAATCTTGTTGCTACATACATAGTATGCATCATACTTCTGCATATTTGTAACATGTGTTTATATTTTCTTTTTCGGCTACTCCATTTTGTTGTTACATATTTGGGAAAGTCAATTGTCACCTTATTATCTTCTGTTTAGGTAGTCATTGAAATCACATGACATGTTCTCCCCCATTGTCCATACAAAGACATTTGGTTCTCCTTCCAATATCATTCTCCACAATAGGTTGGAACTCTTTAATTAAACTTCTCAAATACTATAGACTTTTCATTTAAGAATTAAATCCACACTACCTTGAGAAGTCATCAATGAATGTTACCATGTATGAGTAACTACTAATAGAAGGTTGCTTTACTGGTTCAAACATGTCTAAGTGCACCAACTCTAGTGGCTTATTGTCTTGATACTTTGATACTCCACATGAAAGTTGATATGCTTTTTCATATTAGCATACAACACATATATTGTCTCCTATAATCTCAGTCTGGGAAAGACCTTTTAATTTTGACTGTAGCATCATGATTTTTCATTTGTTGCATCTTAGGTACCCAAGACGTGGACTCCATAGACCATTTGTCTCATGATTACTCTGAGTATTCTTCACATAAGTTATTTTGGCTACCATAACATATATTGACTCTAATCTCTTTACCTCCATGATTGGAAAGCTTGTAATTTTTTTTCAAATTTCAATATATTTTTACGTCATTTGGTACAAACAAAACACAGCTTCCTAAGGTTGTTAGTTGCACATAGATAATAAGTTCTTCCTCAAACACGAAAAATGGTAGACATTTTAGTTTCACTTGTCATGAATTATGATGAGGCATAAACACTATCTTGCCAATATGAGTTATTGACATTCTAGAATTATTCGTTGTCACCACTATTCAACTGCCTTTATCCTCACTCATGTTGATAAGTTTTTTCACATCGTTGGTCATGTGATTGGAGCATCCCGAATCACTTTGCATAGTCAAGCAATTTCTCACTTACAGTTGCATATGCAAGCTCTTCCCCTTTGTCAGAGCGAGATGTGACAATCTCTTATTGTTGATTATTGCTTTCTTCTACTGAAGGTCTCAAAATCCCAAGCTTGTTTTTCATTGTCTTTCTAGTTTTGAGTAAAAGTGGATGAGTCACCTTCATCTTTCTCGTAACAAAAATCTCTAGTGTAGTAACCTATCTTTTCATAATTGTAGAACTTGTCCCTTTGTCGGTTATGTTGTTGAAATCTTGGCTTGCCTTCTTGCTGGCTCGCTAGATTCTTTGATGTTGATTCTTCTGGTCCCTTCCTTGGTGTAATCTTCTCTCTTCACCATATTTCTGGTAGCCTTAAGGTTTGCTCAAGAGCGAATTACCAAGCAAAGACAATTATTGTGTGTCAATTGTGTCTCTATAATTTGAAAGAGAAAATACTAAGGGGTTGGTAAGCTTGAATGGTCTCTCCCACCTAATAGACTAGCCTTTTCGGTTGAGTTGAATCTATAACAACCTGACAGTAATTTAACTTGTTAAAGTATCTTCTTAGTCTATTTTATAGGTTTCTATGGGTGTGTTTGGTATGAAGGAAAATGTTTTCTAATTTTCTCACGTTTGGTTGTCTTAATTGTTTTGGAAAATATTTTTCAAATCAATTTATTTTCCTAAAACTTAAGTAAAATGACTTTCCTTAAAAAAGTTAAGGAAAACATTTCCCAAAATCATTGAACCTCAAACCTCAACTTTCCATACTAACTTAAGTCTTACATATCGATTCTTAATACTAATCCTAAATCTGACTCATGATTCTCGATTCTCAACTCGACTCTCGACCTCAATTCGAGACCCAACTCCTGAGTTCTAATTAAGTCAGGATCAGATCTTGTGTTAGGATTAGAGGTTGAATTTGAGGTCGGATCCCAAACCAAGTGTTAGGATGAGGTTTTGTGTCGGTGTCAGAGTCGAGGTTTGGGTTGAGACTCGAGGTTGGATCTTATTTGTAACACCCCGTAGAAACTAGTAAGACCTAACGGAAGCTTGACGTAATCTAATAGGTGAGACTAGAACCTCACATGTGAGTTGAAGATGTAAATTTGATTAAATGTTGTAATATGGATTTTCAAGTTTAGATTTAGGAGTTTAGAGATCAAACGTCAAGAAACGACTATAACGTCCGAAAATTAGTAATTTCAACTAGTGAGTTCTATGAGCCTTGTCGTTGAAGTTTGGAGTGTTGTATGAAGGTGAAAACTTGTAGAAGTGACTCTCATACTTAGAACAACATTTTTAGGTTAAACGTCTGAGTACAACTCCCCAAAGACCACTCGAGGAGTCCTTGAGGAGGACCCTAAAACAGTCCCCTAAAGCTACCTAGACAACAAGGTTTGATGACCTAAGTGGTGACCTACAAATGCTTTCTACGTCCCGTAGACTAGACCACGGTCTGTGGATGAAGGGCGTAGGTCCATACTTAGTTTTCCTTGAAGCCTGCAACATTTAGAGCCACAGTCCCAAACCACGGAAGCCAACTACGGCCAGTGGATTGATCCACGTTCCATGGAAGGCTAGGCATATGTTGGACTGTTTTGATAGTTTTTCTGTTAAATTGAGGATTAGTGTTTTAATTAGTTAATTAAGTGGGGGTTAAGGGAGGTAGGTTAGGTGGCTAATTAATGACTTATATAAACTTATAGGACCCTAAACTAATTCATTAATTCACTTCAACTTAAGACCCCCAAATCAAAACCCTATTCCCTTTCTCTCCCAAAGTCTTCTCTCTAAGATCACCATTGAAGACCAATGAAGAAACCAACCTAGGGGCTTGAAGATGGAGGTTTTCTCTTAGTATTTTCGTGGGTTTCTACACCTAAGGTATGTTGGTTTTCATCCATGGGTAGCTATCACCTTTGGAGCCCTCTTAAAAGCTTTTAATTAAATTCTAGAAATCTTCAAAAGCTAGAGTTTCAACTCAACCCCATGGATTCCTTTCTAAGTTGTTCTTAAAGATTGAACTATGTTTACTATTGGTAATACTACTGATTTTAGATGGTTTTAACTTCAAATCTAAAGAATCCACAAGTTTTCCCCAAACCCTAGCTATGGCTTTTCTCTACACAATGAATGATGTTAGAAGTTGATTCAATTGATTGAATTAGAGTTGTTTATGATGTAATTACATTATCTAAGTATAGTTCTACATGTATTCTTGATTACCCTATGAATCTAAGATGAAATTGACTTGGTCTAGGGTTATATCATGAAAGAGGCAAATTGAGGGGTTAGATGTGATCTTATAGGGTTGATGAATTTCTTGATGAATGGCCTTAGTTTGGATCACCTAGACATGAATGGAATATGATAGAATATTGTAGATATGAATTACCTTGAATATGATCATATTGGTTATGTTGTTGGATTATGATGTTCTTCTATCTATTGTGCCATATCTAAGATGTTAGACTTGATATTGACTCTTGTCCTTGAAGGGACATCTATGAAGGATGTCATGTGAAGTTATTATATATGAATGAATTGATCCACTTATGGTGGGGGGTGTTTACTTATCAAGTATTCTAACTATGAATTGTTGATCGACTTATGGTAGAGGTGCTTACTTGCCATATGTATGTAGTGTTGAGATAAGGTCCCTCTCCCCTACAACCCTAGATATGACTAAGTATGATACGATATAAATACGAATGTTATGTTATGATCATGATGGTGTTGCTATGATGAATGTATCCATGTCTATTGTAATGAATATTAGATATGTTGATTTACATGGTCTAAAGATCCCTGAATGCAATTATGTGAATCGTGCATGAGTTGGGATATTATGTACAGGTTGTGACCCCTTGAGAAGGGAGGTGTCTATGATGTTAATGTTGTTGTTGTTGTGCTGCTGTGAGGACAATCATGCACATACACTCCATGCACAAACATGAATATGATGTATCAATGGTGTTTAATTGAAAGTATAGTTCTCATGTGCACCTTTACTCATTATTATGCATGAAATGTACATGACCATGATGATCCTATTGTGTTGATTGAAAGTCCATTCTCATGAGAAACACATCATCTTGGTGTGAAAGTTATACTCACATACTAATGATGATTCTAAGGTTGAAAGTTAGTTCTCACCTTTAAATGAATCTATGAGCTATTTAGTGAGTTGTATTGAACGAAGGGTAAAGTATGCCTTCACACATATAGATACAATTCCATACTAATTATGTATAATTGGGAAATAATGCTTAGTACCGAGTGGATATGGACGATGAGGAAAAGGCCTCCACTAATGCAATAGGTTGGGTCATCTATAGTAAACTCATGAGATGGAAGCTCCTCCGCTAATGCAATAGGTTGGGTTTCTAGTAGCAATCTCCCTATCCCATAACTATGTGCCAAACATAGGACTTAGCTAGTGGATCCACTTAGAAGCTAAATATAATTAGTTCTACCTTCGGCAAGTAAGAACCTTCTTTGGTGTGGGGTTATATGACACGGATTCCATGTAGCTCACATGGTCTATGTCGGTTATGGCAACTTTTCCCTATAATAATGAAGTTAATGAATGAAGACATGAACTATACTATGACTTCTTGGTGAGTTTACTTAGTAGGAGTGGGGTATGGACTTCATTCCACATTGGCACAATAGACTTAAGTAGGATGTCATGGGATGGTTCCTTTGCATTATGATGAGATTCGAATGCATGTATGTATATTGAATGGATAGTTGTTATGCATGACTTTCCTTGTATTCGAGTAATGTACATGACTATTTCCTTAATTTGTGAATATTGCATATAATGAAGTCTAAAGATGTAATGCATCACTAAGGTAGCTTCAAAGGAGTACTTAGTAGGGTTGGTATTATGGGATGCTAACCCCACATTGCACAAGTGTTCCTAGAGGTTACTAAGGTAATGGCTTTACCATGAAATGAGTATGAATGTGATATTGGATTTGTGTTGTACATTGTAAATACATGTTAGTTACCATACATTGCACAAGTGTGTTTTAGAGGTTGCTTATGTGATGATTACTTCATGATGTGATGGTCTTGGTATTTAACCGTGTATCTTGTATAATTGGAGGCTATGTATTGTGAAGATTGGGATGTGTATTATATTGATATTGGAGACTATGCTTGTTGTTATAATGATATTTCAGGTTATAATGAAATGTATGTGAGTTGCCTTATTGGTTGCATTCTCCAACTATTTCAAAGATGATGTTCAAAAATGGCATAAAGCATGATTTCAAATGAAATGTCCCTTTTCATGCATGTTTTAATGGTTTTGTGCATGGCTACCATACTTAGTACATTTTTGTGCTAACCCATATTTCTATGTTTTCTACAATGTAGGGGGTTGGTTCATGGAGATGGTAGTTTTGGTTCAAAGGGCTTGGAATAGGTGATCCTCCAAGCCAGTTGATGAGTCCTCAAGTTCGGGGACCAACATCTTACTTAGTAGATATCTGTAGTTTCTTTTATTAGTTTCATTTTAGAACTATGTAAGGGTTGTATCCCTATGTCTAAGTATTCGATTGTATAGATGGCCAATGAGACAATGTTTAGACTCCTTTCTATTTTGAAAAAAAAGAATTCGTTTGTTGAAGAAAAAGTTTTAATTTCCGCATTATTTCTTATGACATTATGTGTATGATTATGCTAAGGTCTTGTATGCGACCCTTCGGGGTCAACTACGCCATGTTACATCTAGGGGGTAACCTCGGTCGTGACACATACAATAGGTCTCGTAGGTGGACCCAGACTTAGTGAAAATTTAAGGGTCAAGATTGGTTTCTATGGTTGGTGTCTACGGGCGTAGTAAGACCTACGAGCCGTGGACAAGTCTCGTCAAAAGCTGGTCCAAATAAAAAGGTTTCTAAACTTTTCTATGGTTGACTAGGATAGTAGGTCAAAACCGTAGAAGTGATAACGCTCAACTACACTTTTTCCGATTCAAAGTGTAGGCGGTCGCTAACAAGTATAAACACACGATGAGTTGGGGTTGATCCCACAGGGAGTAATACGGTAAAGAATTCAAGTACGAAGTAATGAAGTGTTCTAATCTTTTGTAGAAGTAAAAGGCTACACAACATAAAGTAAATCGAGCATTTTTAATTATCTATATCAAAGGGGAAAATTTGTAATCAATTGTTAAGGGAAACGAATAACACGAATTTTTATCAAGTATAAAAAGGGACTTAGGGGTGTGTGTACAATCGACTACACATTTCGCCTATGGGTAATTAACAATTGCTTGAAATTGTTGAATCTCAATGGGTAGGATGGTTCTAGCTATAATAACCATTTTTCAATCGGCTATTATGCTTAAAGTGAGTTCTTTCGAACCTCAACAAGCTAAGCATTATGAAAAACCCAATTCCTTAACATAACCCACTTTATCAAGCTGGGTAGTAAAGACATATGAGCATACAATTATCAATCATTTACTTAACTCTAAACCACTTTTGACAGCTAGCATTGAGTGTGAATTTGCAACTTCAGTTCATTAATTAAACATGAAATAAACAATTGGACCCATTTCGAAACAACAATAAAACTAGCAATTAATTAATACCCATGAGCTAATATTGCAGTCAAATACATAGTACAACCCCTAAGGAGATGGGGTTTACCCAATCAGAGAAAAAAGTAGAAAATCATTATTGAAGAGATTATCCATCTGAATTGACAACAATCTACGATGCCTAATGCCAAAATTAAGACTAGAATCCTCAATCCTAAAATCAAGCCTCAAAAACTTCTATCAATGTGGTTGCATTGTCATTGTCAATATTGTCCGATGTTCAATATTGTCAAAGTATGTAAAACTCTCTCCAAAACTATGTTTTATGTGTTTTCTCTCTCCCAAAAATTAATTTATACGTTTTAGAAAACTTTCCAAGAATTTCAGCACGGAGTCCACTCATCGACATAAATCGGGATCGCCAAACAACTCGACAATCTGTCGATGGGCCCTCTTCTCGCCTTTTGGCTTGACTTCTGCATCAAAACGTTCTAGAATATTTGGCGAGCTGAGTCGCTATCGTCGTTCCATTCGGCGCGTCGCCGAAGTAAATTTTCTTTTGCCGATTTGGCTTGATCCATGGACTACTTCGCTGGAAAGTTTGGCGACCTGGAGGCTCACTCGGCGCGTCGCCGAGTGGCTTTTGCAAGCTCCAGCCTTTCTTTTCTTTAGCTTTTCCAACTTTTTCGCTTCTTTTCCCATCATAATGTCTTTGACTTGTTCCTAAGGCTTCATTGTTGCATATAAACAAATTAACATCATTTATGAGCACAAAATAGGCATTGGGCAGAAAATCAGCTCTTCAGTTCGCGCCCTGATTAGCGAGTTTTACTAACATTGCCGATCCACTCTGTGAGTTGTCGAGGGATTCAACATGCCAAATTGGGCAGAAAATCAGCGCTTCAGTTTGTTCAAAAGGTGAGCTTGATCGGGCTCGTTGAGCCACTCGGCAATTCACTGAGTAAGCTATGAGCTCGCCCAAATTGCTTCTCCTCCAAAATTCGAATTTCAACCTGCGCATCCAACAAATGTTATTCAAATAACAAAAAATAAAATTTGGGTTGCCTCCCAAGAAGCACCTTATTTAACGTCATGGCACGATGTGGCCATGCTTTCAGGCCTCATTCTTCGGGTTAACTAAGGTATCACTAGGAAGACCCCCTTTTGGTCTTAGATTTAAGTGAGCCGAGATTTGTCCCATTTGAGTCTCAAGTTGCTTTATGGAAACCGAGTGCAAGGTCGCTGTTTGATTTAAGACGAGACATCATCCTTCATCTCCTTGAGTACCTTATCCGTTCCTTCCACCTTTTTTAGGATGCGGGCAAGCATATCCTCGGTCCAAAAGTTTCTAGGGTCAGCCTTTTCTTCCTTCGGCTTTGGAAGTTCATGAGGGGGGTACATAATGATCTTTATCACCATCTCTATCTCTCCAATTTGCAACCCTCCCTTGTTGACAGTGTCAAGACTCTAATAGAAATATTGCAAGAACACATTGTCCGACAATCCATGAGTAGGGAATTGGAGAACCATCTTTTGAAATCTCAACCACTTCTCATGAATAGGTTCACTATCAATTCTTTTAAAATTTTGAATACTATCTCTCAACTTAACCATCTTCGAGGGAGGGAAGAATCTTTCATACAACATTTCATGAACTCCTCCCAAGAAGTGATAGATTCCCTTGGTAGTTTGGTCAACCACTTCGTTGCTTCCCTATTAGAGAAAAGGGAAACAAACAAAGCCGGATTGAATTTTGAGAGATATTCTTGAAGGAGAACAGTCCACACACATCCATGAAATTGCGAATGTGGTCATGAGGGTCCTCATGAGAAAGTCCCCCAAAGAGACCTTTCATCTGCAACAACTGTAACATAGTGATGGTCACATGAAACACCGCATTGTCCACAGTTAGAGGCAACGAATAGCACCGACATTTCCCAACTGATCCACATTGACATCATGCAAGTTTCTGATGTCATTATTCCCAAGCATAACTTGTATTGCTCCCGTTCACAGTCATCTTTTCACATGTTTAGAGCAATCAACAAAAACACAAATAAGAAAATTTTACTAGAACAAAATTAGTTCACAGAAACACTTCAATAAAAGAATTCTAAACACCACTCCCCGGTAGCGGTACCATTTCTGATAATGCTCAACTACATTTCTTCTGATTCAAAGTATTGGCAGTCGCTAACAAGTATAAACCCAACGATGAGTTGGGATCGATTCCAGATGGAGTGATATGGTAAAGAATTCAAGTACGAAGTAAATAAGTGTTCTCATCTTTTGTAGAAGTAAAAGGCTATGCAACATAAAATAAATCGAGGAGTTTTGATTATCAATATCAAAGGGGGAATTTAGTAACCAATTGTTAATGAAAATGAATAGCACAGATTTTAATCATGTATAAAGAGGGCCTTAAGGTTGTGTGAACAATTGACTACACATTTCGCCTAACGGGTAATTAAAATTGCTTGAAATTGTTGA